AAGTGCCCCCCTGTAATTTCCTCTTACCTCCCACTTTTATTTCCCCCAGGACTCACTCATGTACTTGGGAGAATAGTTCCACTTGTCATCAGAGACCATTCTAATTCTCAGAGGAAGAAGGATCAGTTCATAAGTCTCCTCCAGTCCTTTGAGATAGGAGGCCCCAGGATAAATGCAGGGCAGTGTGTGTAACCCTGTCAGTGCCACCACTTCAGTCTGTGTTTCTCTGGCTACAGCAGGATTGAGAGTTTGGGAATACAGGGGAAAGTAGGCTATTGAGTGTCTCAAATACTATTGCATCTATGTCTAGAAGAAATGAGGTAGCACAACATGAGATGAGATACTAGTTTGTACCCGAGATATGATGGGGCAGTAAGGATTTGTGGATATGGTGCAGCCAGTGAGAGGGACTTCTTAAGGACTTAAACTGAGGAGGGACAGAGTCTATACCCTAAGAGCTGGAAGTGATCTACTTCAGTTCTATTATTATACACTGGATAAAAATGAGATTCAGTTATGATCCGCCTCCCTCAAAATCATACAACAGTGGATATATGGGAAATCTCTGTTCCTTCCACTCAATTTTGCTATGAACCTAAAACTGCTATAAAATATAAAATCTATTTTCAAAACCTCATGATGTGCCATAAAACCAATGTAATCACTCAGATCTGATTGACCAGTGTAGTACTTTGTTCACCGTGCCCTAGAGCTTTTCCTGATGAAACAGATTAATATGTTTGATAGGATTAAAAATAAAGGCCTTTACTCAACCTTTAAAACTCTATGTTTGTCAACAATATTGTTTTCTACATGTCTATTGGTGATTGAGCAGTACAGCAGCCTGGCATGTGCACTAACGAATGATCAGAAATCTCTAACTGGGGTGGGAGTTCCAATTGTAATGTCAGCCCTGTTTAGTATAGGAACTACGTTTGAAAATGTGGTCTACAGTTAATTTTTCCAACTCCGGTTGATCTTGGCAATATTGGTCTAATTATAACTCCTAACAACTTTACCATAGGTTCACTCAACTCAGATTTGTCTATTGCACATTTGTCATGACTCACTAATCTCTAGACATTGCTGTATTTAATACTTTCAGTTGAGAACTGTTTTTTTCAGGAACTGATGACCTCAATATAAATAATAGTTTTCCTAAAGAAAATGTACTCAATTACTAAAGAAATTCACCATCCACTGATAGTCTATGGAAATGAGACTCTTTATACTTTAACAGTAGAAAAATCCTCACAGTTCCATCTTCGAACATCTTCTTATGGAATTACCAGACAAATGATCTGAGCCTACTGCCTTCACTGATACTCAATGCCTCATTCTTCTCCTTTTACTTTAATTTCTTTTTATTAAAATTTTTATGTTTATTTATTTTCAGAGAGAGACAGCATGAGTGGGGGAGGGGCAGTGAGAAAGGGAGAGGGAAAGACTCCCAAGCAGGCTCTGCACTGTCAGAACAGAGCCCAATATGGGGCTTGAACCCACAAAGCCATGAGATCATGACCTGAGCCAAAACCAGGAGTCAGATGCTTAACCTACTGAGCCACCCAGGCGCCCTACTTTAATTCCCTTAATATTAATTTAAATCACTCTTCATGGATTTTCCTATAAAGCAAATAAGTAATAACATACATTTTAAAACTTCTGATTATTTACACAAGCCAAAATGAGGGAACTTTAGCCTATGGAGAAACTACAATGCATATAAATGTTTAGGTAGGAGTTATTTCTGTCATAAGACACAGCACCATATATTCTTTCTGAGTTACTCTGCCTCAGCAAGGGCTACACCTGAACAAATAGAAGGTATCTTTAGGGACAGACAAGTGCAAGAGTATTTTGTTTTGTTATTGTAAGGCCCTGAGGTGATCTCTGTGAATATCTCCTTATTTATCAAGAGAAGCTTTGCTAAATTTTACTAATACATTTCCACATATATTTACATTCATGTATATGTATCTATATGGAATTTTCAATATGACCTTTGGGTGGATGCTAAATGAGGAAAAATATCTGAGCACCAATATCCAGAGTAAAATGTATGAAAATCCAAAAATCTTCCATTTGGAAGATCGTGATACCACCTGAAAGCTGAAGAATGTGCATGAGTCTTGGGATTGGGGTACTTAGTAAGAAATAGTGCAGTTGTAAGACAATAAATAGAGTGAGACATGATGTGAGAGAAGGTTTTTGATACAGAATAGATTTCCTCCACCTTCTTTTCTTTTTCTTTCTTTCTTTCTTTCTTTCTTTCTTTCTTTCTTTCTTTCTTTCTTTTCTTTTTAAGATTTTAGTCTTAATAGTTTAGGGACATGCCAAGTTACAGGGTGGGGCTTTGAGATTGAAAAGCCAGAATTTTTGATGATGTGCTACTTGCTGTGGAATGAACAGAAGGAGGTTCGTTGGCACCAACATGAAGTTCATTCAGTGTGAATACAAGGTGAGCCCGTTGCCAGTGTGCCGGGAAACCGACAGCTCCTTGCGTTGCTCCTGACTCTCCATTTAGGACACAATTTGTACTCACTCTGGACCTCAGCAGGCAAGACCTGCAACAATGTGGTTACAACCTATATGGTGAGCTTCCTTCACTTCCTTTTACATATCCAGTTAGTCAAACAACTTTATGGCTTTCTCTCCATTCAGCTCCCTCTCTAAGCAGTCAGATTCATCCAAACTTCCCCTCAAGACCTTTCCTCCACTCTGCACACTTCTGGATTGGCTCCCCCTCCCCCCACCCCATGCTGTGATTGGCTGACTATACTTGTCTCATTTCCTAAGATTTTAGAACAACATTGGGGCACCTGGATGGCTCAGTTTGTTGAGCATCTGACTTTGGCTCAGGTCATGACCTCCTGGTTCATGAGTTCGCGCCCCGCGTCTGGCTCTGTGCTGACAGTTCAGAGACTGGAGCCTAGTTCGGATTCTGTCTCCCTCTCTCTCTGCTCCTCCCATGCTCATGCTCTGTCTCTGTCCCTCTCTCAAAAATAAATAAAGATTATTTTTTATATATAAAAAGATCATAGAGGGGCGCCTGGGTGGCCAGTCGGTTAAGCGTCCGACTTCAGCCAGGTCACGATCTCGCGGTCCGTGAGTTCGAGCCCCGCGTCAGGCTCTGGGCTGAGGGCTCAGAGCCTGGAGCCTGTTTCCGATTCTGTGTCTCCCTCTCTCTCTGCCCCTCCCCCGTTCATGCTCTGTCTCTCTCTGTCCCAAAAATAAATAAACGTTGGAAAAAAAAATTAATAAAAAAAAAAATAAAATAAAAAAATAAAAAGATCATAGAACAACATTTTGAAAGTCATACTGGTCCCACTGGTCCCATAATAAACAGCCTCGCTGACGCCCCCACCATGCGTTCTTTTTTTTAAAATTTTTATTTATTATTTAAAAAAATTGTTTTCAAATGCTGAACAGTATTTTATTTATGCTGCCAAAAATGCTAGACCTTAAAAATCAGTCCTCATTTTTGTCTTCAAATTAAAAAAAGGTAAGAAGATA